GCTTCCTTGCGAATCAACTTTTACCATACCGATACCTTGACTTTTTAAATAACTGTAAAAATCATTGTAAAACTTTTGAATATCCTGCGGTATGACAATATGGATTATTTCATTCGAATGTTTTACTCTTTCAATTCTGTATGAATCTGACAACTCGGAGTTAGGATCTACACCATTCCAATAACCCCAAAGAGTATGCCTAGAGTTGATAATTAAGAATATTTTAAAGACTAATATAAACCGATAAAATTCACCATAAACGGTTACGTCTCATTTCCCCGAGGGTCATTCTCCCTACAAGCCATTTACCCAACATCACACAGGTGACAATTTACTAACAATATATACCTGCAACTCCTATGTGATGTCGGGTTAATGGAAATGACTATCGAAAAAATAGGCACTACCATAAACATGTTATTACCATACGCCAAAATATTTTAAATATGGAAACTTGACTTTAATATTATTTATCATGTCCTTAAATCCGTTCGGGTAAAGCTCAGGTATAGGTTCAAACTTTTGCAATTGTCTATTTCCATTAACTTGTTGCCATCCATCATCTAATAGGAAATATCCAATATGCACACCAATAGCCTCGAAAGAATTTAGAGCATCAAATATATGTTGTTGACCAATTTTATCATTAAACCTAATTTATAGAGAAAGAAGTGACGATTTATGCAGAAAAAAACTATTTAAAGAATGTAATAATATAAAAACTCACGCGTTATAAGTACAAAATCCAATTTGATCATAATCGAAATGTTCTTCCGTTTCAATACCATTATTTTCTTCAACATCATAATTTCCGTTAATTTCATTGATATATTTCATACATGCTTTAGTAGTGATGTATGGATCGTTTCCACGGCCTACAACAAATCTTGCGTGACTATCACGTTCGTTATCGTTTATGACGAATAGTATTAATCCGCCATTTTCATCTGATCGAAAGCTACAAATGCAACCATCACTTGCCATAGGCACTAGCGAGATATAATGACCAGATGATTGCTGAATTAATATATAAAGAATATCTTTGTGTTTTATGTCCAGCTTGGAAATGCCCGTGACTGGTATCATCCACCAAGCTCTAACAGTGTTAAAAAGATTTATATTAAAATGAATCATTAAATTACATAAAAATTTCTCCCTAAGGAATAACATTAGATCATTCTTAAATCATTACATTTGTTTAAATACATAGACTTTTTCATAAATGCACAATTTTTTGTTGTTCTCTAGATGCATTTAGAGATCTGACTATATGATTATTTTTTCTTAATAAAGTCAATAAATCACATAAAAATTACTTACGAAAGTCTTTGTAACACGACATATTGAACCAAATTCCGAATTCCTCCAAAATTTATACGAATTGGCAGACCAGAATTGGATTTAACATTACTCGATATACACCAACAGTCAACATTTCCTTGTAAGCTATATCTAATTTTTTCTTCATCGATTTTTTCATAAAAAACGGAATTATTTAAATCTTTTTTATGATTTAGATCATCTGCTGTTTTACTTATGAATACTTTAGCGTTTTGACCTTCATCCGTACTCATCCACCTCCAATCATTCCAGCCTTCTCTTTTGATCCTGACAGTAAATTCATACCATCCTTCCTCAATATCAGTAGTAGATATTATTATTTTAAAAACGCGATAAGATTCAGAGGGATCACAACCAATTACTTTATTTTGCTGTTCTTCATCAATATCTATACTAGACCAAGTTTGTGCTATCAGATTCGTCCATAACTGAACACATAATTTATTGGGACGTGCATAAATATCATCATCGAGAATCCAAACTATAACAGTTAAGGGATTTTGTCGAGGAACAAATGAAGTTGAAAGAAGCGATGGCTGTACAAATATCTTCATGTTTTTCAAATTGACAAATATAATTATTCGTTATCGTTATTAACGTATTTAATAGTAAAGTGATGTTACACGGTACTTGTCTTTAAAATGATAACATTATTTGGGGAGCTGACAAATATTAGGTAATTCTGTAATTATGAAATATTTCATTTCATGATGTTAATGAGCCAAAGTGATACGTCGTACGTATGTACTAACGCTAAATTCAATTGTCGAATGAGTATGGGCTATAATTACCTAATATTTGCCAGTTACTTTAATAAACATGTGAATTCAACGTTTTTTATTATATTCTCATTACGTAGTGTGTACTTATTGCCTAAATTCAGAAATGTTCAATCATGGTATCTCGTGATAAATAAAAAAACTTAACAAATCGTCATATTATCACATAAGTATAAAATCTATTGAAATTTTAAAATTTTGGGGGTATTTTTTTTAGCTTTTATTTGATAGGTTAGGATTTGGGGTAGTTTTGGGAATAATGTATAAGTGAAT